TGCTTTAGTCTCACGGTTCGATATTTTTTTTTCGATACAAAACAGAGAAATTTCCATTCCATTCTTGACTTGGAATTTATTCATATTAATTATGAACATTTAACCTCAAAAATACAGTTTTTAAATTAAATGTTGCTGAAACAGCAAGTTTCTCAGTGGATCTGCGCTCGACAATGCAGCCTAGGTGGAGTAGTCGAACACAGATCCTCTGATCCTTCAACACAGAGCATCTTCAGAAGACAAGTTGATAAAATAAAATCTGTATTGTTTGATACATAGTGTGTRTTGAACCTAMAGCACTGTATTGAACGGTTCGATACAGAKACATGTATTTTTGCACCCCTACTGTACTTTTATAAYACTACATGTCTACATTGAAGTCCTGCAGGAGTTTCTGTCAGAAACAATCGTTGTTGTTTAATCAGGAGTGTTTTCCTGAGTGTGAGTTTAGCTGGTGTGTCGGTGGGAGACCCTGTGCTGCGGACAGGGAAGCCCCTCTCCGTCGAGTTGGGTCCAGGAATCATGGGGTCCATCTTTGACGGTATCCAGCGACCCCTAAAGGACATCAATGACCTCACAAAGAGCATCTACATCCCCAGAGGAGTCAACATCGGAGCCCTGAATCGAGACCTGAAGTGGGAGTTTTGTCCCAGCAAGAGCCTGAGGGTGCGCGTCGAGACTCAGCAGACCTCCTCCTGAAATCCTCAGAGTAATTATTTATCTTTTGCTCCTGTTAGGTTGGAAGTCACATCACAGGGGGAGACATCTACGGCATGGTCTACGAGAACTCCCTCATCAAGCACAAAATCATGCTGCCTCCTAAGAACCGGGGAACCGTCACCTACGTGGCTCCGCCTGGAAGCTACGACATCTCAGTGAGTCCAGCAGCGCTCCGGGTCCAGTGTCACAGTCGGACATCGGGATGTTGTTTTGGTGCTGATGCCGTGTGTCTTTGTGCCAGGATGTGGTGATGGAGCTGGAGTTTGAGGGCATAAAGGAGAAGTTCACCATGGTGCAGGTGTGGCCTGTCAGACAGGTGAGGCCTGTCACAGAGAAGCTGCCCGCCAACCACCCGCTGCTGACCGGACAGAGAGTGCTGGACGCCCTTTTCCCGTAAGCTTCTCCTCTCATTTCAAAGAGATTACACCTCGCTGTTGGWAAAAACCTCCCTTCTCTGTGTGAAGATGTGTGCAAGGAGGAACCACGGCCATTCCAGGAGCCTTCGGCTGCGGGAAGACCGTCATCTCTCAGTCCCTGTCCAAATACTCCAACAGCGATGTCATCATTTACGTCGGCTGCGGGGAGCGAGGAAACGAGATGTCGGAAGTGCTGAGAGACTTCCCCGAGGTGGGTGACGGACTGTAAACTCTTGTGTGTGCGAGGTAAACCGGTGCTCCGGGTGACTGACGACGTTAATGTCCACCAGCTCACCATGGAGGTGGACGGAAAGACGGAGAGCATCATGAAGAGAACAGCGCTGGTGGCCAACACCTCCAACATGCCTGTCGCTGCCAGAGAGGCCTCCATCTACACAGGTACGGTCAGCARCAACACGTCCACCCACATCGGTTAAATCATCGATTCTTTTAACAAAGAGACGAAACAAAAACACCCGTCCACATTTATACGCTTTTTATTTTGAAATTCTTTTACAAAAAGACCAAACAAAAACACCCATCCACATTTATACGCCTTTATTTTGAAATTCACAAAAATAAAGTGTCACTGTTTCTGTGCGCTCTGCTGCCTTCTAACAGCAAACTGAGTCAACATGGCAATATAAACAGAAGAAACTTGTGCYGTGTGCAAAAAGGTGCCAGTTTGAGTTAAAATACTGAGGAAACACAACCAAAGTAGTTATTGTTTATATTTGTTTTACTCTGACTTGTTTGTATTTTATTTTGGCTAAAATGTTCACAGTGGATACACTAGGTATGGTGCAGGATGATAAAACAATAAAGGTTAAGTTCTGTTAAAACAAAGGTGAAAGTTAAAATTCTGCTTTAGTGTTTATAAAAAGAAAGACTTGACAGTTTGATTTTAATGTGAATTTATTAAAGCTTAATATCTAWTGTGTTTTATGACAGAAGGTTATCAAGAGCTCTTTTAAGTTAACTGATTAAAATGGACTTAAACATGAGAAATGTGTGTGTTATTGCTTTTTTATTAATAAATAAAAGGCTTTTTTAAATTAACATGCCTGCAATAACTTAGAAATAAAAAGATCAAATCCTTTTTGAGTTGTTTTTGTAGGTTGATGTAAATGACTGCGTTAGATTGCATCATATTTCAGATATTTGATTTGATTTAAAATCATATCATGACAGACTTTGTAATATCAAGAAACATTGTCTCATCATCCAAACAAACTAATTAAACGTTGTATCATGATAAAACTGGGGATTTCCACTACTAGTTAGTAGGGCTGTGTATTGGCAAGAATTTGTTGAAATGGTACATATGACCCGGGTTATAATGTAATATATCACAATATATTGTGATACTGTAAGCAAGGCGATATATTGCCATTTTTTTCTCCAAAGATTCTAATAAATAAAAGAACAAAACTAAAACTAAGTATAAAGAGCACATCATGCATTACCTGCATAAAATCTGATTTAACCCTTAAATAAAAATCGACGCAGTGCTTTTGAGACTCGATACAGTATCAGGGAATGAAATATCGCGATATGTCAGTGTATGAATATTTTCTTACGCCTCTACTAGTTAGCGAACACCTTCACATTCAATCTGAAAAACACACACAGCTGCTTTTCTTCCGTGATCATATTTTATTTTCCCGTGTACTGTTTCTCAGGGATCACACTGTCAGAGTACTTCAGGGACATGGGGTACAACGTGAGCATGATGGCTGACTCCACCTCCCGTTGGGCCGAAGCTCTCAGGGAGATTTCTGGACGTCTGGCTGAGATGCCTGCTGGTAAGTTTATTGTTGTGGAGCAATTCTGTGCGTTTATTTTTTACGCCATTGTGAAACTGCGCCGTGCACTTCCCTCATTTCAAACTCTCAGCTCTTCCCTTTTTTTTAAATCAAACTGACACAAAACACGGGACATGTGTTAATGAGGAAAATACGTGTACTTGTTGCATCATTTACTCAGTTTAAACTGCAAGGCTTTGTGTTTTCCTGTATGCAAACACAGACAGTGGATATCCTGCCTACCTGGGCGCCCGGCTCGCCTCCTTTTACGAACGTGCTGGGAGGGTCAAGTGCCTGGGGAACCCTGAGAGGGAGGGCAGCGTCAGCATCGTGGGAGCGTGAGTACAGCTTTCTGCCACTAGAGGGAGACAATCCCCTGCTATGTTTAAACCAAACCTCAGCAGCTAAACGCAGCTGTTTGTCTTCAGTGTTTCTCCTCCCGGAGGTGACTTCTCTGATCCCGTCACTTCAGCCACACTCGGTATCGTTCAGGTAAAAACAGAGACGTTCTGGTCCTCTTGTCGCTTTAATTAACCTTGTTATTAAGGACCTGTACGCCCCCCCTTCAGGTGTTCTGGGGTCTGGATAAGAAGCTGGCCCAGAGGAAGCACTTCCCCTCTGTCAACTGGCTCATCAGCTACAGCAAATACACCCGTGCTCTGGATGAATACTACGACAAACACTTCCCAGAGTTCGTGCCTCTGCGCACCAAGTCCAAGGAGATCCTGCAGGAGGAGGAGGACCTGGCTGAGATCGTGCAGCTCGTTGGAAAGGCCAGTCCTCCACACACTTTTTATTTGTGTATTCCTTCCTCCAGCTCTGACGTTATGTGACGTTCTGTGTGACTAAATGAATAACTTCAATTTAACAGGCTTCACTGGCTGAAACTGATAAAATCACCCTGGAAGTGGCCAAACTCCTTAAAGACGACTTCCTGCAGCAGAATGGCTACACTCCTTACGACAGGTAGGTCAGCGATGACGTCACGTCTTTGAGGAAGTTTGAAAGCCCACGTTTATATTTTTATATTAAATACTTTACATCCAAAGGATTTAATCAACCGATGGTCTCCTCAGGTTCTGTCCTTTCTACAAAACGGTGGGCATTCTGTCCAACACGATCGCGTTCTACGACATGGCGCGACACGCAGTGGAGACCACGGCTCAGAGCGACAACAAGATCACCTGGGCCATGATCAGGGAGCACATGGGAGAGATCCTCTACAGGATCAGCTCMATGAAGTTTAAGGTTGGTTTGGTGCAGATGGGAAAAGGTTTACAGCAAACATCTGCTTGAGTTTCCGTCACATTTCAGATCACGAGTCAAGATAAAAAACACCAATGTTTTAGATCATATGAAGCAAAACTACCGTATTTATGCGTTATAATGCAACCGCACAGTTTTTGAACTTAAACTTACCAACAGTGGTGGGCAGCACTAATCTAGAAAGTAGTTCCACTAGTGTGGGATAAATCTTGTGCCAGCAGGAACTGAATTTGAATTGCTCAACTTGAATCTGTATGTGTATAATTTGAAACTAAATACATTGGTTTGAAAATGAATTTTACCAAATTGAAACTGAATTTAAAGTTTTGTATCTGAATTAATTTGCTTTGAAACTGTATTTTGGTTTATTAAAAATTCAATTTGACTATTTTCACTTTCAGTTTCATAATTCAGATTTTTGTGTCACATCCTGGTTCTTGAGAAAGCCAGCCAGAGTAATCAAACACAGATCCACAGATTTACGTTTCACTTTGGTGAAGCCTTCTGTAATGTAACAGAGTTGATGCAATCCACCATAAAAGTGACAAAAACAGACAAAGTTATTTTATTGCAGTGATTAGTTTTACCTAAATGTAGAAAATGTTACATTTACATATATTGATCAGATGCTGCTGCTGACTGATCCATGATGTAAATGTAACATTTTCTACATATAGGTAAAATTAATCACTGCAATGAAATAAATGTTTGTTTTTCACACTTTTATGGTGGATTGCATCAACTCTGTTACATTACAGAAGGGAAGCTTCACCAAAGTGAAACGTAAATCTGTGGATCTGTGTTTGATTACTCTGGCTGGYTTTCTCAAGGACCAGGATGTGACACAAAAATCTGAATTATGAAACTGAAAGTGAAAATAGTCAAACTGAATTTTTAATAGATCAAAATACAGTTTCAACGCAAATTAATACAGATACAAAACCTTCAATTCAGTTTCAAACCATTAAATTCAGTTTTAATTTAGTGGAATTTATTTTCAAACCAATGCATTCAATTTCAAATTATGCACATTCAGATTCAATTCCTGCTGGCACAAGATTCATCCCATAATCCAGCCTTAAAGCACTAATGCACTGAAAATTTTAGCAAACGCTAATTCTAAAGCACTAAAATAACCCAGTCAACTCATGAACATTCTTCAACAGACAACAGGAGTCACATATTGTCATGTTGCTCTCTTAAGACTTATCATTGATATTCCACAGCTGTATTTGAGTTCATATATTGTCACCTGGTGGATCAGTGACACAAAAACAAAATGTGTGACAGCTTTCACCATCAGCTGTTAACATTAATGTTGATCAATAACATTTATAGACCTCAGTTATTGCTTCTAAATTTAGCAAGTGCTAATMCACTAATAAATTTAAAAAAATTAGCAAAAGCCCTAATCAGGAAATTAGTTCCCCCATTAGTGCTTTAGTGCTTTAGGGGAACTGTGCCCACCACTGCTTAACAGAATAAAACCTAACCCTTGTGTTTCCAGCTTTAAAACTGAAAGACAAAGTTTAAATATCCTTAATGTCCTTTTTTTTTTTGGAGGACAGGAGTTGGGTCAGTTGTATGAGGTGGGCGGGACATGTGTCAGTTTACAAATGTCCATCACAGAGGACAGATTTTAGCTTCAGGTGGTTGGCAGGACAGGATGTTATCCTTTTGTTATTTTTTAATAATCTCAGCTAAATGCAGATATTTGTTTAGCATTGTTGACTGTTGGTCATGTAACTGTTTGTGTGTGTGTGTGCGTGTGTGTGTGTGTGTGTGTGCAGGACCCGGTGAAGGACGGCGAGGCCAAGATCAAGGCCGAGTACGCTCAGCTGTTGGAGGACATGCAGAACGCCTTCCGCACACTGGAGGAGTAGACCCCAACGTTCTCTCTGGACCCTCATCCTCCACTGCAGAGCTCATTCCACCTCCACTTCATTACCCACCCCTCCACCCCAACCCTACCCCCACCCCTCGTGCTCCTTTGTGATTGTGTGTGTGTGTGTGTGTGTGTGTGTAAAACCTACAGTGGAGGAGAGAAAGAGAAAGATGTACTGTATTATTATAATTATTATTGTTTGCTGCGTCAAACAGACGTACTCTGTCTCCTCTGCATGGTCACTGATGGGGTGTGTGTGTGTGTGTGTGTGTGTGTG